TGACTTCAATTTCCTCAACCATAAAATGAGGAGACTGACTAATGAGAGTACTTTTGAAACCTTAAAGTGTTGCATAAATGTTATCATCATCATCACCACCACCACCACCACCACCACCACCACTACCATCACCACCATGGTCACGATCATTATTATTGTAATGTATCTGGGGCCTTCCAGCCCTTGATCCTAGAACTAACTGCCAAATCTCCTCATGCTGTTAGGCACAGACTACATACGGTTAGACTATTTTAGTATGGCTGGGAGTTCGGCTGCTAGCAAAAAAAGTCCATCCTGATTTGCAAACTTCAAAGAAATTAGTATATCTCTATTTGAAAATTGGTGAATTGTTTCTTTAGAAGTAACTTGCTCATTCATATTAACAGGGCTCATTCTGTAATGAGAAATTGCAGTTTGCTAAAAAGAAAAAAACTCACTCCTTGGTTCTCCAGCTACCCTATCTGTGCCTCCATGGGCTTTCTGCATGGGGTGTTAGAGTCAGTAAGAGCGAAATGCCTCTATGTCCCAGATACTTCACTTTGAAAATTGTGCTCTTTTCTGTAAATGATTTAACTGTGGGACCTTTTCCTGGCAAGCGGACTAAATGAGTGCAAAACTATGGCCTGAAATCAAGCAGTGGGGCTGGAAAATTCACACTCATTTCAGTAGCCTGCATTACTACATGCAGACATACAGCAAGGCTGCCTGTTCAGGGCTTACCTTTCCAGCACATCTCTCATGCACATTCTATCCAAGAAGGCTCTAAGGCTTCCTGTAATGAGCCAATGTGAGTCACTTTCAGTTACACTTACACTTACTTGGGGAGGCATCCCTTGGACTTTTATGACCACCCAGAGCCTTGACAATGTTTGTCTATTTAGACTAGAAGTAGTGCATGGTAGTAATGTACTTTTTTTTTTTAGTTTAGTTTTTTCTTTTTTAAGGAAAAGGGGAAAGAAAGACCCATGTCAGCAAATTTGTCAAGGTCAATCATTCTCTCTCCCTGGATGCTGTCTCCTTTCTGAGCCTTAATGACACTGCTTTCTCCTGGGTCTCCCATATGTCCGATGGCTCCTTCTCAATCTCCTGTGTTGGCTCTTCATCCTTCCCAATAGTGTTCCCTAATTGTGGCTATTCCCCAAGGCACTATCCAAGGCCCCCTACCCTCTATGCTTTCTCTTTTGGTGACCTCATCAGCTTTCACTATAGTGATCATCTCTGTGCTAATGATTCCCAGATCTGTATTTCCAGCTCCAATCTCCACATTGCCAGTTGTCTTTTGGACATTCAAACTGAATCTGAAACTCAACGTGTCCCAAATAATGCTCATGTTATCCAATAAACTCACCACCTTTCCAAAATTTCTCTATTCTTGTTGAAGATCCTACCATTCTTCTGGTCTTTTGCTTGGGTGACCATCCCCCTCTCTCTGAACCTCAGTTTCACCATCTATAAAATGGGATACTTGGACTAGCTGATCTCTGAGGTTTCTTGCAGCCCTAATAGTATCTTATTTTATTTCATAGTTTTTTTCTGGTGAAGGTATATGCTAACACTGGAATTCTTGCTTTGATGAATCAGGCTGGGGATTGGAATAGGCCTTAGTCAGCAGAGTTGCTCCTTGATCTATCAAGATAACTGTATATTGTCCTTCATTCTTGAAGAGGACCAAAATGATATCAATATGTTAGAGAAGTTACAATATGTCTAACTGTGTCTGATCAGACCAATAGGAGCTCAGAATGCTCTACAAGTCGGGCACAAATAGTCCATGTGAACATTTGGGGTGGACTCTCTACATTTGTGCATCTAGAGTTTCTTTTGAGCTACTTCAATTCTGCTTTGCTCATAGACGAGGGCCCGCCATGCTGGGTGGTCCCGTGCCGGTGTCTCCCACATCACACAATCAATCCCAAAGTTCTTCAGTGAGACTCTGAGAGTGTCCTTGTATTGCTTCTTTGGACCACCATGTGAACACTTGCCCCATGTGAGTTCTCCATAAAAGTCTTTTAGGCAAGCATACATTTGGCATTCTAACAATGGGCCATCGGAGTTGCGCTCTCTGCAATAGTTTGAATGCTTGGCAATGAGGGGTGTGTAGCTCTGGCCCACAACGGAACAACATTACCAGGAGCACTCAGACTATAAGACCATAAGGAAATTAAAGCTTGGTCATTTTCTAGTGAATTCTGAATCATCTGGGCAATTCATACCCCAGGCTATGAATTATTTGATGTCAATTTGGTAGCTGCCCTCAAACCAATTGATAATTGTGAATTGTGCCACAGTCTCATGGAAAAATGGTCAGAGTCACCATTATAATAACATATCACATTCATAAGTTTGATAACTATAAGTATATAGGATTCACATTTAGGATTTGAAAAGTACATATCTTTCTCTAGTGCTCTGAGCCAAGCAGCACAAGTATTATTATCCTCATTTTACAGATGAGAAAATTGAGATTTAGTGACTATCTCATGTTCACAGAGCTACTATATAATGACCAAGATTCCAATCCTTGTCTTCTTCTCCTTCTTCTCCTTCTCCTTCTTCTCTTCCTCCTTCTCCTTCTTCTCCTCCTCCTCCTCATCCTCCTCCTCCTCCTCCTCTCCTCCTCCTCCTCCCCCCTCCTCCTCTTCTCTTCTTCTTCTTCTTCTTCTTCTTCTTCTTCTTCTTCTTCTTCTTCTTCTTCTTCTTCTTCTTCTTCTTCTTCTTCTTCTTCTTCTTCTTCTTCTTCTTCTTTTTAGCTAGGCAATGGGGTTAAGTGACTTGTCAAGGGTCAAAAAGCTAGTAAGTGCCAAGTGTCTGAGGCCAAATTTGAGCTCAGGTCCTCCTGACTCCAGGGCCTCTATCCACTGTACCACCTAGCTGCCTTTCTAACCCATGTGTTCTTAATCTAAGCCCAGGGTTTCTTTCACCAAAGTAGGAAGCAAACAAGCATTTATTGAATAAATGTGCTAAGCACTTTACTAACATTGTCTCATTTGATCCTCACAACAACCCTGTGGGATGGGTGTCATTATTATCACCATTTTGCAGTTGAGGAAACTGAGGCCAACAGAGGTTAAATGACTTGCCCAGGATTACACAGTTAGTAAGTGTCTGAGGTCAGATTTGAACTCACGTCAATCAGATTCCAGGCCCAACATTCTTTTCATTATACCAGCACCACACCATACTTTTCTTCTCCCTTCACTGCCCACAAAGGATAGCTATGATTATTATGCGATATTCTCCTGAAGCAATTCACAGCAGGAATTCTCAGCCTGAGGTTTATGTACTTGTTAAAAATTTTTTTTTGATAATGATATTTCAATATAATTATTTTCTTTTGTATCCCTATTACTTTATGCATTTAAAAACATTATTTTGAGAAGGGGTCAATAGGCCTCAGCAGAATGTCAAAGGGGACCAGGACACAAAGAAGAAATTCCTAAGAACTACTGAGCTAAAAGAAGAGATAGGTAAGCAGCTCAGCTAATGTTTGTTCTTGATAACATGTCTACAAAGGGACTGGCACCCAGGGGAAGGTCTGGGCTCTGGTTCTAGCTCTAGCATTCACTAATATCTCAGCCCTGACATTTCCCATTTTCCTTCCTTGGGCCTTGGTTCTCTCATCTATAAAATGAGAGATTGGACTGAGTGATCTCTCAAAGCTTTTTCCAACTCTTCACAGCCCATGATTTTCTGATTCCATGATTTTTGTCAGGTCCCTCAAGATCTTTCAGTTTGGAGGTCCATTTTGGCTTTTTCCTGGTAACCCCTCCTCTCACCCCCACTAAAAGTCCCCACCAGTCCAGAATGATGAATAATTTTCTATGCAATAAGAACCAAAGAGAAAAAAAAACCCTCTGGTCAGGGGAAAAACAACCCTTTACTCATTTGACAGCCTTGGGGCTCCTCTCGCCCCTGTAGCATCTTCAGTCAGATGGTTTACTGAGATCTGCCTTCATTGGCTGCTGGCTTTCAGGCAATGAGAATCCTGGTCTCAATACACAAAACCTTAGTTTCTGCAGATCTCTGCTCCCCAACCTGTATATCCAAGCATTCAGTTCTTGATTTCTATTCCTGTTTCTTGCTCTTTCGCTCCTCTTCCCCTTATACTTCTGGGGTTCATTTTTTTCTCCTCAATTTGCCTCCATAGGATTCCAATTTCCCCCCACCCCCTCACCTCCAGCCCAGATTGCTCTTTGGAATTTCCTTTCGGTCCTACTCCTACAATGGACAGGGAGGGCATCTAAGGAAGTGAGATTTATCTAATGTCAAAAGTCTCTGATAACCTGACCATAGTGGGGCACAGCCTTAGGGTGCTACAACTGTAACTGAGAATGTTTTCATGTGAGGTAAGAAACAGTTGAAGGAGGGAGGGAAGGGGGAGGGATGGTTTCAGGAATCAGCAGTTTAGGGAATGATCTCACTTGTCACACTGGGAGAAGGAAGACATGGCCCTGACCCATGCAGGAGTTGAAGAGGGAAGACTTCCCAAGAGAAGAACATCGTGGTCATGGATGTTGGGGGGAATCGCTTAGAAGCAGTTGTACAAGTTTGGTGGTACAAGCCTTGGAGGACCAGGACATGAGGCAAGGGGATGAAGGCCATTGTGGGGAAGAAGAACATGTTCCCTGGATGTTAGTACCTTGGGACATAAGATCCCTTTACTCCATACTGATTATGCCTTGGCTTTGAGCCTCCAGGGAAGGGAGGCCTTTGAAAACATCCCATTTTTAAAACGTTCCTTACAGAACCTTCATGTCTCCAGATCCCAATATCTGTTTCTTTAAAATGATGCACTGGAGAGACTTTAAACCCCTCTTGCCTACAATGCGATCTTTTTATGTGGGATTGCCCCATACCATCTTATTTCAGGGTGCCAGTAGGTTGGTGCCAGGGTCATCTCAGAAGATAACCTCAGATCCAATCCCCTTCAAGTTGCATATATCTTCTCATTGTTCCTTTCAGGGTAGGATTGCTCCATCCAGGCATGCTCGTGGACAACCTGAGTATTCATCACGGAGTGGTGCTGGTGCAGGTGGTACTGGTGAGTGATTATATCTAAACCACAAAGTGTGGCAGCTGTCTGCTTATGAATCCTATCCCCTGCCTCGGTTTGACCTATGTGTATATGTATATATTTGTGGATAGGTAGGGAAGGAACTGTGCTTCTATCCTTCTGCCAGCTTTATGCCATCTCGCTGCCCCCAACAGATGTATGACTGGTCCACTCAGACTACCTCACACTCACTGAATGTTACCTCTGGTTTTGGTTCCACTTTCTAAGACTTCTCTTGGAAGGGATATATTATTCTTTTTCCTGGCATAGGAAATATTCCTTGGGAAGGACTCAGGGGAGAAGGATTCTCACCTTAGAGGGAGAGTGAGGAGTCACACTTTGTGCCTAAGGGCCATATTTCCCTACAGGAAGAATTCATTCCTCTCCTTGAGCCCCTTTTAGAAATGAATGATTTAAAAACAAACAAACCAACCAACCCCGGTAACTAACAGAAACCACAGCAAAAACCTTCTGAGCCCACTCATTTTTTATCATGATCACTTAATCCAATCCAACCTTTTTCCACTTAACTCTATTGTCTTTCTTTTTTTCCTCTCTAGCAGATAAGATGATTGTGAAGGAAAATCAGGTAAATTGGAAAGATAGGATTTTTTCCCTCATAAATCCTTGGCAAAAAAAAAAAAGGCTTTTCTCTTCATTATATGATCAAGAGCTAAAAGGGACCTGGGAGATGACCTAATCTAACCTATTTCATTTTTTGATCAATTGTTTCAGTTGTCTGACTCTTTGTGACTCCACATTTGGGGTTTTCTTGGCAAAGATGCTAGAGTGGTTTGCCATTTCCTTCTCTAGCTCATTTTATAGATGAGGAAACAGAGACCAACAGGGTGAAATGACTTGCCCAGGGTCACACAGCTAATAAGTGTCTGAGGATAGTTTTGAACTCAGAAGATGAATCTTTCTAACTCCAGGCCTGGTGCTTTAACCATTTTACCATCTGGTTGGCCCTGTTTCATTTTATGATTAGGTAAACTGAGTCCCAGAAAGGGTAAGAAACTTTGCTTGGTGTCACATAGCAAAGTCAGGATTCATATTCAGATCCCCTGACTCTAAAATCCGTGTTCTTTCCACTGTCATACTACTCTATGTCTGGCCATGTTTTTATCTTTTATTTCCTTTAAACAAAAACATATTTTATGGTAGTGACGATAGGATTTAGCAAGTTATTGTTTTTTTTTTCCTTTAGTTCCGCCTTTTGAAATGATGCCATCTCCTAACATTCTGGGGTTTTTTAAGCATTTTTTTCCCTCTAGGTCCAAACAAATCCTTTAGGGAGGGCCTCACCCCACCTTCTTTTATTTTTGCTTTTAGGGTAGGGTCAGAATGATTCAGATAGGCTTTGGGGATGGGAAGGTCAGGATCAGTGGCTGAGCAGCTATGTCCAGCAGCTCATTTCCCATCTGGTTGCAGTCCTTTGGTCTTCTCGATCATGCCCTTGTGCCCACCTCCGCCCTTCCCCTAACTGCCCTTCTCCCCTCCATCCTCCCCCTCCCCTGCTTTTCAGCTTCCTTGCCTATGTCATCTTCAATCACTAGATTATAAACTTCTCTAGTGCAAGGACTGTCTTTGTATTCATATCCCTAGCACTTAGCATAGTGCCTGGCACCTAGATGTTGTTGTTGTTTGCTTAGTTCAGTCATGTCTGACTCTTTGTGACCCCATTTGGGGTTTTCTTGGCAAAGTACTTTGCCATTTCCTTCTTCAACTCATTTCACAGATGAAGAAATGGATTCAAACAAGATTAAGTGACTTGCCCAAGATCATACAGCTACTAAGTATCTGAGGCTAGATCTGAGCTCAGGCCTTCCTGACTCCAGCTCTAAGCACTAGGTCACCTTGCTAGCCACCCCATAAAGCACATAGTAGGTGCTTAATATTTTTTTGAAATGACTGACTCTGGCTTTTCTCTTTCCACCCTATGTCTTTCAGGATCTTTTGACAGATTGTAGATGGGTAAGAGAAAGGAGAGCGAGTCCTAAAGTGTAACCAAAATGCCCAGTTCCTCAAATTTAATTCCACATCATAAAATAGGGGCAGTCTGGATAGGAGTGTGAGGTTGGAACTGAAGGCTGAGCAATAGGGCTGGTCTAGTCTACATTGATAGTCCAAATTTTAAGGAAGCATTTGGCAATAATATATTAATGATGTAATTGCAAACCCAATGTTGTTTGGTTTCTAAGACATTTCTTCTTATAATTACTACCCTTAAGCTACTGGAATAGCTTTCAATTTTAGGAAAGTACCCAGGCCAGTTATACCTTCATTCCTTTAGAGATTCTACTTTTAACTCACTGGACTTTCTCCATCACACCAGTGACCTTCTCACCCTGGAAGTTCGCTCTACCCCTGTGTCTCCTTCATCTGATCAACTGGTTCCTCCGTGAAGATCCATTGTTAGCAAGGTCCCCAGATCAACCATGTTTCCCTTCTCCTCAGGCTTCCCCTCCTGACCCTCCAGAATTGCTCCACTGTTCTCAGTTTCCTCATCTATAAAATGAGCTGGAGAAGGAAATGGCAAACCACTCCAATATCTCTTCCAAGAAAACCCTAGGAGCAGCTCGGTGGCGCAATGGATAGAGCTCCAGCCTTGGAGTCAGGAGGACCTGAGTTCAAATTCGGCCTCAGACACTTGATACTTACTAGCTGTGTGACCCTGGGCAAGTCACTTAACCCCAATTGCCTCAACAAAAACAAACAAAAAACAAACAAAACAAAACAAAAAAATCCTAAAAGGGGGCCATGAAGACATTCTACTGAAATGACTGATCAAAAAATGAAACAGGTTGGATTAGGTGATCTCTCAGGTTCCTTTCAGCTCTTGATGCTATAAGAAACAGAAAAGACATTTTCACAACTGAAAATGATCGAACCATAACAATTTAGACATAGAATCTTCCTTCTACCTTTCAAATGAAAGACTAATATTTACAGAATGAGGGGCCATTGGAAAAGAAAGTACCTCTAATACATTGATCAAAATTTTAATTTCTGATTTGTTTAAAGGCAAAAAAGAATCTAGGAATTCTGCTGTTCTGCCTTGAATGTTGCAAATTGGAACTGTTGTTTCACGAGCACCGGCCAGACACTATTTCCTTAGTTAGAGATGGGAACCGGACCTGTGATTTCATTGCTTGTAGGTGAGGAAAATTCCTCTAACAGTTCAGATCTATAACTTACAGACTTAGAGAGCTATCATAAGTACTGAGTTGAATTAACTAGCCCAGGGTCCCACTGTCAGTACATATCAGAAGCAAGACTTGAATCCAGGCCTTCCTGACTGTGAGGCCAACTCTCCATCCATTATACCATTGTTTTTTGGCCTTTCTTTGTATGCCAAGTGCTTAGCACGGTACTTAGTACATAATAGGCACTTAATATTTATTGACTGACTAATTATATTCACTTATCATAAAGAGAGGCAGCTAGTGGTCAATAGAGCACTGGGCCAGGAGTCAGGAAGACTTCAGTTCAAATCTGGTCTCAGATGCTTACTAGCTGTATGATCCTGGACAAATCATTTAATCTCTGTCTGCTTCAGTTTCCTCCTTTGCCAAATGGGGATAATAACAGCATCTACCTTGCAGGGTTGTTATGAGGATCAAATGAGATAATATTTGTAAAAGCACTTACCTCAGTACCTGGCACATAGTAGGTGTTTTAAATGCTTATTCATTTCCCACCCCCCCTTTTCTTCCCCTTAAAAAGGCTCACAAGTACATACTGTTCTCCCACTGTAGGCATTGATTAGTTAAGTACCAGATGTAGCTAACTTTCATTGGCATTAGAGGCCTTAGGGCAAATTACAAAGCAGATGAAGCTTGTCTTAGGAATTTTTTTTTTTTAGTGTGCCTTGCCCACATGAATCAGTACTGTTGAAATGGGGGGGGGAATTAATTTTGAGCAGGGCAAGGCACAAGCAGAAAAGGCTTCATAGATTGGGCAGTAGTGGCCTCAAGGCGGTCATCCTCTCCATTTCCATGGTCATCATCATTGGGCACACTGTTTTCCAGGTTCTTCTTACTTCACTTTGCCTCCTTTCTCCTCCACCCCAGTACCTAAGACTCCTTCTACACTTCCCTGGATTCAGCACAGGCATTGCTTCTTCCAGCACAACAATAGTCCACCCCATTCATGTGCATCAATTTCTTTAGTCATCACAGCAGCACATTTTGTGGTGGCAAAGAACTGCAAGCAAAGTCGATACCCACTGACTGGGGTATCACTGACTGTGAACAGAGGCAGATCAAAGTAAGCTAAACCAGGAAAACAACATACATGATGATGACATCAGTGTAAATGGGAAGGACAGAGCTGAAGCTGAATTCTGTGTAATTCTAATGACCAAACTTGACCCCAGGGAAGAGACAAGAAAATGTACCTTTCCTTTCCTTCTTTGTAGAGATGGGCTCGTATGGGTGTGAAACATTGAATATGTTGTCTGACTTGGTTGACACAGTGACTTTTTTTGATGAACTGTTTTCTTCCCCTCTTTCTTTTGAATTCTTTATTGTAAGAGCTGGCTTGAAGGCTAGGGAAAGAGAGTAGGGAGGAATATATTCAGAAATTATGGTAAAGTAAAAGAAAATATTTTTTTTAAAAAAGGCTACAAATATTCAAATAGTCACTGCCACCACTTGCTCTGTCCTTACCAGAGCATAGACATCCTACATCCACAGGTATAGGCAAGTATATCGCCTGAGTCAGTATGGGCACTATTATGGAGAAATATTTAAGATGTTTCTTTGGCCTGTTATTGAGTCTCTGCTTTTTGTTATTCTCCAACTTCTGTGAATGCACTTTTAAAATTGATTGCTTAATTATGACTGGCATTTATATAGTCCTTTCAAGTCTGTAAAGTGCTTTACATATATACATTTTATTTAAGCCTACCACAACCTTGTATGGTATTATAGATGTTGTCATCCCTAGAGTATAGGGTATTTTAATGGGTTAAGACGACAGTGGGA